AATCAAAGAAAGCTTAGAAAGAACTCCCATGTGCTGAGAGTATTGCAGACGCATTAAATATAATTCGAAATTACTTAGCTGAAAACTAATTATGCATATCAGAAAATTAATATGAACAGATTTGAGTGTAAAACTAATGAGGTCTGCGCAATGTAACAGAAAATCTATGTTTCCAAGTTTAATTGAAATGTGATTAGAACCAAAAAATTATGAATTATTATGCTTATTAGGGAATTAATATGAACAGATTTTTACCCCAAACAAATTAGGTTTGTACATTGTCCTAGAGCATCTTTGTACTAAGTTTCATTGAAATGGAATAATTAGTACTTTAGATATCAGAGTGAAACCTTAAAATTGGTTAATTATGCAAATTAGGTAATTAATATGTAGACTTTAACCCACAATTATCCAGGTCTGTCTAATGTCCTACAGCATCCATGTACATTCATTGGTATGTGATCCATGTACATTCATTGGTATGTGATGTTTAGTACCTGAGATATCAGAGTGAAAGTTGGTTAATTATGCAAATTAGGTGATTAATATGCACAAATCTTTACCGGAAACTAATTGGGTCTGCATAATTCTAGATTCATTGAAATGTGATGATTAGTACTTTAGATATCAGTAGAAAAGCTGAAAATTAATTATGCAAATTAGGTAATTAATATGTACTAATATTACCATAAAAACTATCAGGTCTGTGCAGTGTCATATGACATCTATGTACCAAGTTTCATTGAAATGTGATGATTAGTACTTATATCAAATGCTGAAAATTAACTAATTATGCAAATTAGGTAATTAATATGCACAGATTTTTACCAAAAACTAATCAAGTCTGCGCATATGTTCAGAGCATCTATGTACCAAGTTTCATCAAAATCCAATGAGTGGTTTTTTAGATATCAGTGGAACAATCATGGAACAGCTAAAAATCAGCTAATTATCATGCAAAATAGGTAATTAACGAGCATGGATTTTTACCAAAACCTAATCAAATCTGCGCATTGGCCCAGAGCATCTATGCACCAAGTTTCATCAAAAACCGATGTATGGTTCTTGAGATAGCAGTGGAATAGTCGGACACACATACACACATACACACACACACACACAGACACACTAACTGCAAAGACTCCCATTATGTGCTTCGCACATGGGAGTCAAAAAAGGGGGGGGGTTAACAATAACTATAATTAAAATCTGCGTAGAATCACAGATCTTAAGACCTATGTGGGATCCGTTATGTAGTTAAATACTATCTTGAATTTAGCAGGGAAAAATAAAAATAGGAAAATATACTACAATAGGTCATACATTATTATTGGAGGGTAACTTGATAGTAATGATGAGAAAAAAAACAAAAACATTGGTAATACCTTGATTTGGCACGGAAATGGTGTAGATTAACATTATCATCGGTTAAAAGGAGTTCATGAAATCCATGAATTTAACAAATTTGGAGAACATGTTTTCTGCCAGAGGAGTATATTGTTCAGTTTTACCAGTTGTAAAATGTGAACTTCGTTGTCTCTGTGCACTAAAATATGATTATGATGATTGTTTAACATTTAAATGATTGACACTTGTATCTGATCGTCAAACAAGTATTGAGAGATATTGCCTGGAACAGCATTAATTAAAACAAAATCAGCCATTTTGAATACATGTATAATGAATATATAAAATTTGAACATAATCAGTCAAAGCATGTCAGAGATATGGCACTAGAGCTGCATTCCAGTCGGCCATTTTAAATCCGATCTGAAAAAGAAAATGACGTGCATCAGGAACCCATAATGTCGAATGTATGTACCAAGTTTGAACAAAATCCATCCATAAATGCTTGATGATTTGATGATTTTTTAGCACAAAAATGGCCACCATTCGGCCATTTTGAATAGGATCGTCAAACCAATATATCTGTATATCTATGACATGATTTATAATGAATATTTAAAATTTGATCATAATCAGTCTAAGCAAGTCAGAGATATGGCACTAGAACCATATTCATTAAAACCAAATGGCTGCCAGTTGGCTATTTTGAATCTTGCGTGTATCTGAAAAACAAAATGATGTGCATCAAGGCCTATAGTGTCCAACGTATATACAAGGTTTGAACAAAATCCATCTGTAAACAGCCGGGAGATGCTTGATTTTGATGATTTGGCCATTTTTAATAGGATCGTCAAACCAATATATCTGTATATCCATGACATGATTTATAATGAATATTTAAAATTTGAACATAATCAGTCTAAGCAAGTCAGAGATACAGCACTAGAACCACATTCATTAAAACAAAATGGCCGCCAGTCGGCCATTTTGAATCTTATCTGCAAAAACAAAATGATGTGCATCAAGGTCCTATAATGTTTAACGTATATACCAATTTTGAACAAAATCCATCAGTAAACAGCCGAAAAATGCTTGATTTTGATGATGTTTAGCACAAAAATGGTCACCATTTGGCCATCTTGAATCAAATCGTGAAACAAATTGATGTGCATATGTATAATATCATGTTTAATGTATGTGTAAAGTTTGATCGTGATTGATCCAGGCATTTCTAAGATACAGGTCCGGACGCACGCAAGCACACACGGATGCACAAAACATAAGTCCCCGTTTTCGAACTGCGACCAAACGGGGACTAATAAAAAACAAATGAAAATACATTATGTATACCATTATGTCTTGTCTTAGTATCTACAAAATCAGTCATAGCATCTCCAAGAAATGTTTAAGGACACACAAAAATATACCAACATGGCCACCAGTTGGCCACTTTAAATCAAATGACAAATAAAATAAAACAAACTGATGTTCATCAGTAAACCAGGTGATGAAATGTTGATACCATGTTATAAAATAAGATATTTTTTGAGACAAGCCACTGTGTTCATTTTTTTATTATTTTTTGATGAAAAGCATCACAAGTCAGTTAATGGTTATCAAAATTGATAAATAACTAAAGTGAACAAATAATGTCTGATTGCCTTTGTACCCAATTTAAACAATATCTGTAAAACAGTCTAGGTATTGGGTAGAAAAAAAAATAAAACAAAATGGCCACCAGTCGGTCATTGTGAATTAGATCAGGAAACAAATTGACAGGCACCAACAACCCATCCCAAGTGATCCTAATACCAAGGTTAAATGAAACCAGTAAAGATTTGACGGAATAAAAAACTAATAGACGTGCATAGATTGCCATCATGTCCCTGATTTGGACTCATCTGATGGAGACTAAAAAAATACCCAAGTTTAAATGAAATCAAATTTGGGAAATAAAAAAATAATAGACATGCATACATCACCACCATGTCCCTGATTTGGACTCATCTGAGGGGGACTTAACATTTTGAAAAATAAATAAATATCTGTTGTTTGCAGTTGTGATATACATCAAGTTTAATTTAAATTAAAATATCAAAAAATATACAAATATATTCATGGCTTCAACCATATGTTGTACCATTTTATAGTACAACTATAACAATCATTAAGTTTACGTCCCCCCGTTTGGAACAATTTACCTCTATTTTATGTAAACAACCAAAGAGAAAACGTATTGGTATGATTCCAAATGGTACTGATAATTTAATTGACTCTATAATGTAGAAATAAAATTTACATAAAAAAATTATTTATAATGGTATTACCATTTTCCTTTCTTTCTGTAATTGTCCACTGTCATGTCTACCCTTATCCCTGCCATATTTATCACTGTCAATGGGACTCTCGGCTGTGACTTCTTTATCAGTATCTGTTGTTTCCTCATCAGTCGCACGGAACTTGTTACGTAGTTCAGCGTTTTGGACTTCAGTCTTAGACAGTTGATATTTCAGGTTGTTGTTTTGCTCCTCCAACTTGTGTATCTTCCCCTCTAACTCTTGTATCTTGATGGTGTGTGATGCCGCGTATGTTTTCTCATCATCACGTTGCTCCAGTGCTTCATTCTTCATGCGTAGCTCGTTTTGTAATTCGCTATTTTGGTCTTCGGTCTTAGTGAGTTTCTCTGTCAACTCTTCTATCTTGGTGGTGTGTGATGACAAGGTTTTCTCCAAATTAGATTTGTCAATCTGCAGATTGGATACCATGGTTGCGGTTTTATCCTCATACTGCAGTTGTCCTGTCAGACGTCTATGTAGCTGCACGACTTCCTCTTTCTTTGCGTCTAACTGCTTCTTTAGTAGGACACACTGATCATCTGTTGACTTTAGTAACACGATCTGTTTTATATCCAGAAGAGATGAATGCAGCAGTCTGTACAGTTCTGAAAAAAACAATTCATTGTCAATGACATAGTCCCTGTCATGTTTTTAGTTACTCTGTCAAACAATAAAAAGTATAGTGAGATATGTTTAAATATTAGAATAGTATTTAGCATATTAACAAAATGCTTGAACAATAATCAACATGCACATTGGTGCCATCAAGTTCACATTACTTTCACTGATTGGTTAATTAGGATTCATAGAACACCGAAGCTTGATCGACCATCAACATGCACACTGTTTTGCCATCAAGTTCACATTACTTTCACTGATCATGCACACTGTGGTGATATCAAGTTTACATTACTTTCACTGATCGGTTAATTAGGATTCATAGAAAATGATGCTTGATCAACCATCAACAAGCACACTGTGGTAATTACAAGTTTACATTACTTTCACTGATTGGTTAATTAGGATTCATAGAACACCGATGTTTGATCAACCATCAACATGCACACTGTTTTGCCATCAGGTGTGTCTAACAAACAGTCAATGACATGTTCAAATTTGGCAATTTTATTTGTTTTTCATAAAAATGGCTGCCATTTCATTAAATTTCATTGAAACCCAAAAATAATTAAAAATCAAAGAAAGCTTAGAAAGAACTCCCATGTGCTGAGAGTATTGGAGACACATTAAATATAATTTGAAATTACTTAGCTGAAAACTAATTATGCAAATCAGAAAATTAATATGAACAGATTTGAGTGTAAAACTAATGAGGTCTGCGCAATGTAACAGAAAATCTATGTTTCCAAGTTTAATTAAAATGTGATTAGAACCAAAAAATTATGAATTATTATGCTTATTAGGGAATTAATATGAACAGATTTTTACCCCAAACTAATTAGGTTTGTACATTGTCCTAGAGCATCTTTGTACTAAGTTTCATTGAAATGGAATAATTAGTACTTTAGATATCAGTGTGAAAGCTTAAAATTGGTTAATTATGCAAATTAGGTAATTAATATGTACAGGTTTTAACCCACAATTATCCAGGTCTGTCTATTAGGTGATTAATATGCACAAATATTACCAGAAA